TGATCACAAACTCATATACAGTATAAATTTATTTACAAAATAAGCTGAAAGTTACGAAAAAAGTATTTCTTCGTAAATCTTTATATATAAATATCGAAAGAATTTTGCATTAATTAAGAAATAATAGCAACTTTTTCCTACACTTATACACGCGTGAAGTCATGAAAAATACTTAATATTAGTTGTTTAATGTTACCTTTAAACATTTTGTATGTTGTATTCTTAACTCAAACTTATATTTATTTTAAATGGTCAATTAATTATTTTATATATATATCCCAACGTTAAATATAGTATTAATATGTTAATAAAACTTTAAATTCAGACCAAAGCAATGCAAAGTTTAGCACAGAATTGATTACATTGTTTGCAACTCTACTTATAATATGTCTCAAAGAATACCTGTTTTATGCAAATTGTGGTTAAGATATATTCATATTCTTATGATTTGATAACATCATAATCAGTATATCATGAGATGTGATGAGACTGAGCTCATACCCAATACCGGTCTACCCTATGATGCGACCGATTGTTACCTATTATCGGTTTGTCGTGCAAAGAGGAACGGCTACTGAAATGATGTGAAACACCTTTCAGGTAAAGAAATAATCGGTGAATATTAGGAGTGAAAGATTGAAGACAAGGCCAGAAAGCAATAAAAGTAAATAAATAAATAAAATGTGCGCCAAATATAGTATGAAAAGTGTCTAACTATTAGTTAACTACAGTTATAATGCATTGGATGTGAGATAAGCGTCTAATGAATGAACGAACGATTGAATTGAATGTATGGTTGAGTGCAGTGTTTGTCGTCATTGGCTTTCAGTTGAGTTTGAGTGCAGTGTTGAGAGAAGTGTTTGACTTATCGTTTGCATAGAATTCAATACAAAATGTCATTCAATGACTATATTTTGCATCACTTCTCGCTGTCTCTCAAATGATTTTCATTTATTTTAGTCTTTATTTGAAATATTATTTTATTTCTTCGCTTATGTTTTAATTGTATTATCATTTCTGGCCTTTTGTTTGCCTCTCGATGTAGTCCTCAGCTGTGAATCCATGCAATTCAATGCAAACATGAGTTTTGTGTCCAAATAGTTGTCAATCACTCGGAACCGCTCATAGTTGTCAACAAAACAAGTGATTTGTTGCCACAATCGACACACAAATCGCATAATTATCTCATTTGTCGCCAACACATACCACGAAGACATGGAGCAGGAAAACAACGTTAGGGTTGCGCTCAGGTATGAGATAATTGCATGTCTTGATTGCATGGGTTTGTGGTAATGAATTGGTGTGTGTTTTGCATCGATGGTAGGATTCGGCCACAACTGCCCAAAGAAGTGATAGACATGTGTAAGACGTGCACAAGAGTCCTACCAAATGAGCCACAGGTATGGCTCGGAGCAGATAAGGCCTTCACA